ACTTAATAAAACGCCTAAATTTCAAGCAAGGGGCTCAATACCCATCGTTCAGATGTAAGTCACGGATATTTTGTTAGAAAGTGTTGTTCAACCATGAGGCGAAGGCTAACAGATCGATGTCTAAAGAGCCATTTGCAGTTAACAAAGAAAATCTGAAACAAAAGCATGAAACCAGATCATAAGAATGATGTAAGATCATGGGCCAGAATAGTTTAAAATGTCCGATCTGGATTTTCCGAGATAAGACATATACAGGAAACACAAAAATAAAGCCTATGGACCGCGCCGAACTCGCCCACGTGATCAAGGACCAATAGCAACTCGGATTCCAGACCTGGATTCATCGTCTACCCTAAAGCTTTACTTCCTATCCGGCAACTCGTGAGTGTTTTACATACTTGCGAAATATAGCTTTATTCACTATACCCATGCTCCTATCTGCGTGTGAATTTACATTTTGTACGAGTACCGCTGACGTAACCTAGTGTTCTTTTTAAAGGATACACTGAAAAGTGTGGTTTTTAAACTGTACACACCTCAACTGCAGTTTCTTCGTGTCGCCAAATCCTGGTCTTCTTAACATATAAAGTAGTATGCCTCCCTAAATTTAGGAACTTGTAATCTTTATATCCTAAGTGATTTACAGTGAAATGTTCCCGTCAGATGAAGTTGATGTATTATGTTACGCTAAGGTTTCTACGATTTTTTGCGTTCATGACTCTCCTGTATATTTAAGATCCCCACTTTATCTCCTTTACTTCAACCTAGTATGCGCTTTACATAACTTATGCGCTAATAGTTTGATAGTTTCTGACAGTATGTTTGTGAGCCAGCTGAACGCAGCCAAGTGTGACGGCGACTTGTGGGCAAGTCGTAAGGATTCAACAAGTATGGCTAAGACTGGTTTCAAGCGTCCCATTTCGGAATGTTAATCATCACAACCACTGATTCTGCTAATAATCCTTTACCATTTTCATTTGCATTAACTAAAATAACTATTAACTAAAGTAAGTTGCTATGCCACGGCCGGGCCTTTGACGCCTCTTCATGTAATGAGGACGTCTTAGAAGAAGTAAAATGCTCCGCTTAAAAGCCCCATTGCCTTGTTTCTGAAACACCGAAAATTATTTATGTTTTAAGTAATTTCCAACATCTTCCCTGTTAAATCCTTCCGACTAATTGCTTCTTATCCACTAATCATCACCACACACTATTGGCCTCAGAATATTTTCAAGATTCATTTGGGTAGTGTGGCGTTATTTTTTCTAGCTGATTGGATTTATTTCGCTTCTATAGGCAATGACATTTTTGATTTAAAGCAAACGTAATGTATAATCTGGAACCCATTGTAAGATGAATCCAAACTGTTCAGCTAGCGATTTTCGTGTTCTTCGCTGTTCCAGAGAAGGTGAAGTTATTGTATTATATTAGGATGATTTGTTGGGGGCAAATTCGACCACGTGCGCAACTGGGGCATCGTTGCGACTTGCACATCAACATTGTGTAGTTAAAATTAAGTGACACGACAAATTCAGTCCTTTGAGAAGGTCGATAAGGATCCAGTGACGGAATCCACAGACGTTTGCTATGTTCTGTTTATATGTCCATGAACTCCAAAACAAACATAGTCACTTAAGAAGTAATTGTTGGCGACGGAAAACCTCGAGGTTGGAATTAGTCAAACCTCGAGGGTTTCCGCATCGCCTCTGCAATTATTTCCCCATCCCTACTGTCTTCGTTTCCATTCTGTCCATTTCGTCAATGGTTATTTTTACTGAGCAAGTACGTGTTCTCTTGCTACTTTTACGTTCTCATCTGCCTGTTATGATATCATGAAATCCTAAAACCGTCTACGGCCAGGCACATGGTCTATTCGAGACGAACAAGAATCCCCTTACGCTTATGCTTCTGTTGTTTACGTCTCCGCAAAAGACCATAATTGGTATCCGTATTGCCGCCGCTCTTTCTTCAAATAGCACGGCCAACATTAAACCAGAGCCCCATTTACCTTGGCACAATCTACCTTGACCAGATATTGACTTTGCGATGAGTCGAAAAACAGTGATTGTCTCTTTCCATGATTTTGACTACGTCATCAGAAGAGCTATTTTGAGGAAGACGTGATTATGTCATCGAAGCTGTTGATTTTAAACCAAGAGCGTGATTAACTCCCGCCAATAAACGTATGAGCGCAATGTGGTAAAAAGTTATCCGACAAAGCCGTGCACCTCACCGTCCCCTTTAATTTATATATTAAATTGG